TCTTCTTCTTCATCCTCTTCTTCTTCTTCTTCCTCTTCTTCTTCTTTTTGTCTTCCTCTTACAGGTCACTGCTCATGCGCAGATTTTTTATCGGTAAAAAGATTGGCCGATTTGCTCATCATTGCCGCGAAAAATTGGCCGATTTTTTTCAAACTTTACCGATAAAAAAAATCTGCCAAAATACCGAAAAACGGCCAACCTATTAACCCACTAACGATCCGAAAATCAGCTGATTTTATTTTCGGCCGGAAAATCAGACAATTTTCGACCCATCTATGGCCTGCTTTAGGCTCCATGTACACTGCAGCTGATAAACTCACATTTAGGATCTTTTCTGCATTTTTTTCAGCAGCCCCTCAACTGTCCCTAATGTTTTCCTATGTGTCCATGTACAATATGTCGTTTACAGGCAGTTGAGTTTACAGTTGTTTTTTGAATGCAACAAACTTGCATTCAGGAGTAGATTTTATCAGCGTTTCAAACACCAAACGCTTGTAAACATTTGTAAATGCGTGTAAATGCAGCTAAACACTTTTATAAGTGTTTGGAAAAATTTTTTTAACTCTTCCATTTCCAGATGCTGTCCAGAGCCTTTTTTCATCATGAAAAATGCATGCGAAGCATTTTCCCGGTACTCAAATGGACCTGGAAAAGAAAATAGAAAATATGTTAGACACTGCTGCAATAATTTCTGCAGAGAAATGAGCTGGAACACATCCAAACACCACAAAAAAAAAGACAGCTAATCTCAACAAATACTGCTCTCTCTGCTTCTGCTCTCTCTATTTCTCTCAAAATGTCTGAAATAGTTAATTTTTTACTGTTTTTCAGTGCATTCTGGACATTTTGGAAGGTCTCCTGAGGTTATCTTTAAAAAAAGCGCTTCTAAATGCAAAAGCTCATAAACGCGCATAAATGCGGTATGCAAACGCGGCTAAACAGACGTTTTTTAACCTACATTTTCCAGCACTCAGCTTTTATTGTTCAGAAGTGTTTTCCAAATGTCCTGTGTACATGGAGCCTAATAGACACCCGGAGCCTGCTCGAGAGCGAGCTTGCAGGTGTGTCACAATAGGAAGTGGCTTCTAATGGTGGCACACTAGAAGTGGCTAGGAGTGCCCAGGGGCAGACTGACAACTCATGGGGCCCCCGGGCAATAGGGGATCATGGGGCCCCTGTGTCCTACCCAAACTCAAAAAAGCCTATGAAAAAGGTACCAGGGGCATCTCATGGGGCTGCCTACTGACCCCGGACCCTCGACAGTGCCCGAGTTTCCAAATGGTCAGTCCGCCCCTGGGAGTGCCAGTGGGGGACCTGAGAAGAAGAGGATCAGGGCTGCTCTGTGCAAAACAATTGCACAGAGCAGACAAGTATGTCATGTTTGTTATTTAAAAAAAAATAAAAAATCTACCTTTACAATCACTTCCGTATATATATATATATATATATATATATATACTGTATATACACACACCACAAACATGTCATACACATTAGCTTCTTTATTGGCATAAAAATCCTTTTAGAAGAACCATGTCTAAAGAAAAACATGGTGGCTGTTACGGACACCTGCCTGTCATGCTAGTTCACTTGCTTCAATGATCGATCTGGACAAGTATGTGCCTAAGGACTTCTGAATTTCCTGATCTGCATACTTGTTCAGTTTTAGGAACTCATGTCAGATTTATTTTAACCGCTTCACACACAAGAGGGGGGAGATGAAAGGGTTAATGTACAGGTCACATTATGTAGGAGGCTGGGGATGAGGGGGTTAATGTGCAGGATAAGGGACGTGAAGGGTTAATGTACAAGTCACATAGAGAAGCAGGATGAAGATGAGATGTACAAGAAAGGAAGGGATGAAAGGGTCAATTAACAATTCAGCCATCTAGTAAACTCCTTACCATTGAATCTGCTTCTGGTCCTTTCATGCTTGTACAGTAATCTTCATTGATGAAATACTATTTCCTTCTTCCATTGTGATGGGAAGGGGAGGACTCTCGGATGACAACAGCAATACAGTTTGCATTTGTGATTGCTGTAATTGGCTGCTCAGATCAGCTCTGTACATTGTGCCTATAATCTGAGCTGTCCAATAGCAGCTTAGATCATAGTCATTATTGGCCACATCAGCTGCCTGAGCACATCAGAAATGAACATCCACCACTTCACCTTTCTTAAACATACAGTAGTAGTGAAATGGTTAAATGGTTAACAAATGATTGTATGTTTAATGATATAGGCAGAATGTATTGACCTTGGTGGCATATAGTATGTTCTGTTTAAAATGCTGCTTTATAAATAGACACAGCTTCTTATACACAGTCTGTCCAGACACCATGGTCACCTGCTGAGTTGCACCATCTACAGGCAGTTTAACTCTACACAGAAGCTGAATCCAATGCATTTTTATTTCAGTTAATTGTAGAACAGAGGATGTTTTTTTTTTTCAGTGGAAGAAGACCTGAGCCCTGAAAAATACTAACACTGACTTATGGAACATGGATGACACAGGTTAGCTAGCACTGAACTAACTAGCACTAAACAGGAGGGGAGGTGAGAGGGAGAAACCAAATCACAGTAAACAAGTTGTAGTGGTTAAAAACGACCACTAGATGTCATAATACTGCAATGACCACTTTCAGTTCAATATGACACCAAAAAGAAAGTCAATCTAATGTAGCTTCAAGTGATGGTGCGACAACAATGCTGCACTGCCCCTAAACTCAGAGCAGAGTTTTCACAGCATGGTTATCAGCTGAGTCACAAATCTGTAGCTTGTCAGTCAGCAGCTGGGCACACCTAGTCCTGTCCACACTGTCTGGATTGATAGCACTGTTTCCGGGACTGAAACTGTCCCACTGTAAGGTGCAGTGTTCGGATTGTTCGGAACAATCTAAAAAGAAACAAATCTAAAAAGTGCAATATGTAAACGAATAGTATAAACGCACATCGATAATGAGTGCGTTATAATCTTAAAAAATTTGCACATCAGTTATAGGTGCGTCTTGGACTTACTAATGCAAAAATAATGTATATAATCAAATAGTAATATGCATAATAAACATATAGGTATAGATGCGTAAAAATCTTGAAATGTCCTTAACAAAGAAAGAAAATTCTGATCTCCAGATAACTCAATTAAGTCCCAGTATGCATATAATCCTCAGGTGCATGTGCCGATAAATGTATGAAATGTGCACTCACCAGATGCGCTAATAAAAAGAGCGTTGTATCAAGTATTGTTGATCAGCCACGGGTCCCTTCTAAGGGTAGTGTGGGATGTAGCCTGGGGGTTGATGGTCTTCCTCTAGAGACAAGATTGGAGTAGCCAGTAAAGGTAGTTTGGCCTCTTCCAGGCGCTGGGACATTTGCTGGGGATCGCTAGGGGATTAAGGTGCTCAGTGCAGAGCAAAAGAATAGGGATAATCCCATAGTGTAGTATTTTTTTCAATGGTACTTTAATGGCAATAAGGAATAAATCCAAAAAACGTACAAATACTGCAGTGTTGGATAGAGACAATATAGTGACAATTGCACACAAATAAAACTAACCAGCTGGTGTTATTAGGTGGCTGCTGGACCTCCGTGATCCGACGGCTTGACGTCAACGGCTTGCAGGGGCTCCTCCTTGACGCGTTTCGTACTAAATGTACTTTGTCAAAAGGGGTATGCCTTAAGGATGCCGTCGGATTGTTGAGGTCCAGCGGCCACCTAATAACACCAGCTGGTTAGTTTTATCCGACGGCATCCTTAAGGCATACCCCTTTTGACAAAGTACATTTCTCTCAAAATGTCTGAAATAGTTAATGTTTTACTGTTTTTCTGTGCATTCTGGGCATTTTGGAAGGACTCCTGAGGTTATGTTTAAAAAACGCTTCTTAACGCAAACGCTCATAAACACGCATAAACGCGGTATGCAAACACGGCCAAGCAGAGGTTTTTTAACCTACGTTTTCCAAAAACAAAAAAAAAAGTAAAAGTCCTCCTGCGCTATTATGCGTATCGAGCTAATAAGCAGCTAACATTAAAATGCCACACTCTTGGCACCAATAAGGGATACAATATAATATGAGCGTAGTGCAGCTCTATAAAATATGTGAATAAAGTGAAACAATTTATGTGAAAAACATAAATATAGCACACCAAAAACCACCAAAATAAAACCATACATTCACATGTAGCTAACCCCTTGTGAAAAGGATCCTCAATTGAGGGATCAATAAGTACAATACAGTGCGTATCCTTTGCCGGGAGTAAACTCATGCAACTTGGTGGATTATAACAGGACAAAATATGCGGAAACAACATGGGCAGCCTGGTAGTAAATAAATGTCCATAAAGATGGGAAAAAACACTCTTCATGCAGGTGTAAGAGAATACGTGCCAATCCTCAGTGCCTGGGGTGCCCCCTCACCTCCCTGCCCAGGCCCTCAGGACCAATGAGCCTAATAAGCAACACAGTATTTCTCCAGGCCGGTAAAGGATCTCCTCAGCAGTGGTGGTGGGACTCCCTCCTCCTCTATCGGGTAGGCATCCAATGATAGGTAGTATTGCTGAACAGGTGGTACTCCATACATGTCCCCAGTAAGGCAAAAGATAACTAATATAGTGTAAACCTGTTTATTTCGATATACAATGTAAAACAAAATCCTACTCACATAACAGCAGATGTATGTCAGCATTCACACCACACTATGGGTGTACTGCATGTGTGGGTATTGTAATTCGGTGCACCAAGATGGCGCCCGTGCTGGTTCTGACGTCACTACGTTTGCCGATCAGGCCCCTCCTACTGGCGTATCTACGCGTTACGTCACGGTGAACACGTGACTTCCTCAGGATATACGTTTTCCAGCAGTCAGTTTCCATCGTTCAGAAGTGTCCCACGTACATGGAGCCTTAAAGTAATCCAGCTTTGTAATGTCTGCACTGTATGCTTCTATAAGAAATAACTCTTACAATTATTTTCTGTTTTAGACTGTCCATCTGCCCCCTATGATTTTGATCTCTTAGACTGTGGTAAAGATGAAATGACCATATGTTGGAAGGCTCCTAAATTCACAGCAGGAAGGGAAATTCTGGGATATTTTCTGGATCAGCATGATTCTTTGGAGGTGTCATGGCGAGATGTCAGTAATGAACCGATTTCTTCCAGGGTTTATACGGTATGATATCATAGGCAATTACTATTTTGATCCTTAATGTGACCCCAGGGGCGGACTGAGAACTCATGGGGCCCCTGGGCAATAGGGGATCATGAGGCCCGTGTCTTCGCTCACACTCAAATCACGCCCAAAAAAAGCCTATGAAAGGTACCAGGGACATCTCATGGGGCCCCCTACTGACCCCAGGCCCTCGGGCAATGCCCGAGTTCCCCAATGGTCAGTCTGCCCCTGTGTGACCCTTAACTTTGGTTTTAAAAACATATATTCAATGATGTTATCTTAACTCAGAAAGCACCCTCTATTGTTCCAGGCTCTCTCCAAATCTCCAAATTCCTTTTTTTATTTGCTGCTGTGATCCAACTTCCTTTAAAGTGTTATTAAACCCACAACAGTAAAATCAGTCTGTATATGCAGTAAAGCATGCTTGTTATACTCACTGTGGAACCTAAGGGGTTAACCCAGGGGTGCATTTACCACAAGGCAAACAAGGCATTTGCCTAGGGCGGCATTTTTCAGGGGTGGCAGCACTGCCGCTCGAAAGAAGGGACGGAAGAAGGGACACACGCGGCATGGGGACCTAGTGGGTTCTGAGAGAGGCTGCGGGTTTCATGATGGTGTATGCACAGCCCGACTCTCTTTTTGGAGATGTCCAAAGCTGTGAAGGTGAGTGTCTGTCTCTCGCTATGGGGGATGGTGGCTGGTGTTGGGGGGCTGTGGTAGTGAAAGGCTCTGTCTGGTGGGGGGCAGGGGTGTTGTCGGTCAATGTCAGGCTCTCTCTGGGGGCAGTGAGGGGGGAGGGGGGCACCGATTTTTGTGTTACCTAGGGCAGCACAAAACCTAAATACACCACTGGGTTAACCCTCTGCATTGTGTATAAAGACTGTTTGATCCTGTTTTCTCTGCCCCTCCTCTTATTCAAAGGTCCACATCTTATCGCCTGATAAGACAGACTTAACCTGTAGCCCTTCTGCACATGCTTAGTTTAGTATGTATTGCTAGAGAGGTTTTTTTTTTTCTTGGGAGAGTGCATGTGATCAGCAGAGAGCCAATCAGCACTCGTCCAGACAGAGGTCAGGGGTTTTGCATCCTCCTAGAGCAGAAAGAACTCATCCTACAAGCTTTAACCAGTGCTCTGCTGGACACTGATAGAAGTCACAAGACTGCTGTAACTGCTGATGAAAAAAAGGTATTTAGAAATTTATATTTACTAAAATAATTGCATTTCCATGTTCTTTGTACTGTGGGAGACCAGATAGGGAATGCATGGTCCTGGGTTTAGTAACACTTTAAGAGGGTGGCTACATTAATTCTTCATGGTCCCACTGTATGTAGGAAAGTAGCCACCACTGGACTGTGGCCTATGGGATTTGTAGTGTGCATGGTGTAGTGCACAACTAACATGCACTGCTCATTCCACACAAATGGATGTAAGCGTGAACAAGAGAGGTTCAGGAGCTCACAGAGGACTGTACAAGGAAGTAGAAAAATACAGAAAAGAAAAATTTCATGAAAAACACATTACAGGCTCATTAAGTAGTACAAGTGTGTGGATTATTTTTGGAGAATAAGAATATCATTTAGTGTCACGTTAAAAAATAACTAAAGTCAAAACAATTTACTTTTGGATAGCATGGAAATGGATAAGAACCCCTGTCATATTTTTATTGCTGTCTGTATCCCTCGAAAGGAAGATTTCCTCTCTATATTTGTCCTGTTTACTATTATCACCAAAAGCAAAAGTGAAAGAAAAACCCAAATTTTGAGTGGTCACCAGAACAGGAAGAGAGGGAAATCTTCCAAAGGGGACACAGGTTCTAGTGTCCTTGGCAACAACCAGGGGATGCCTTACTTTTAAGCTATTTCCTCTCACCCCTTTTCTTGGCTATGGGACCTCAAGTGAAAGGACATCTCCTCAATGGGTCACAGATGGCAAAAAAAAAAAATTGCCAGGAGTTACTTAAATCAAAATGGAAAAAGATTGCCTTTGGTTCTACTAGCATGTTCCACTCAGTTAATTTAAGAGAAGTAGGGCCAAAGCTCATTTTGCCATGTTTCCCCTATGGATCACAGGAGTGCACCTGTTTTCAGCCAACAGAGGGCTAAAGCCTGCTGTCGGCTGATGTCACTGAGCCAGTCCAGGCTCTGGAGAGATTCCGACTTTTCCTTGACCGTCAGCTGGTTCAGCCTCCTGGCAATCCACTGAGAACCTGAGCCAACTACTCCAGCTACTCCTGTCCTCTCCACATGACAGTCATTGGCTCTCTGCAAACTGAAGACTGGGAACTGAGCGATCAGCAGTGTTTGATCACTAGTATCTCAGTCTTAGAGAAGGCATGGGACAGCTACAGCGGGGATCAGTGCTGCAACCATTTAGGTAAGTATAATTGTTTATATTTTAATTATTCCCAACTTCTCTTTTAAATAACGTATGCCAACATAGCTTCTGCATGCTTCTATTCTTCAGATCTGCCATTCAAAAGTCCTACAATTCTGGTCCCATAGCAGTCCATCCGTTGTGCCTAGGTCCTTTATATTTCAAATAGAGTTGTACAGGACTTTTTCAAAAGAGAAAGCCAGTGGTAACTTGTGACCTGAAAGGGGAAAGAATTGGCCTTGTAAATGGCAGATCAGAGGTCAGCCATGTTTCTACATTGTCTAAACAAGCCCATTGGGGTTGATTTACTAAAACTGGAGAGTGAAAAACCTGGTGCAGCTCTGCATAGAAGCCAGTCAGTTTCCAGGTTTTCATTTTGTCAAAGCTTAATTGAACAAACTGAAGTTAGAAGCTGATTGGCTACCATGCACAGCTGCACCAGATTTTGCACTCTCCAGTTTTAGTAAATCAACCCCATTGGGTCATTATCACCTTTAGCTCCAGGCAAATATAGACAAAAATAAAGACACAAATGAATGCAGTTCTGTATTCATTATTACATCCATAATTGTGTTTTTTACATGCAAACAGTGTAGGTAAATGAATTTGATTTGGTATCTACCTCTTGCAGTCTCTGTAAATCATAGATTAGACTGGAGGAGGAAGAAGAAGCACAAGGAGACAATCAACTGTGCTGCAGTGCAAGGAGAACGCTAACAGAAGGAGAGTGCAGAGTGACAAGATGAGCTCCTTAGTCTGCTGATTCTTCTTTCAATGCCAACACATTGGGATGGGGTTGAGAAGAAGACCTTTAAGTGTTACTGAACCATGACAAAAAATAAGGTCCTCTTCCCTGCCATGCAGGGTTCTGTTAGGCTGTGTGGCAGAGCTGTGTGAAATTCAGAACCTGACAGAAATATAAATACTTTGCCAGGTAAACTGCTTCAATATATACTGTGTATATATATATATATATATATATATATATACAGTATATATATATACAGTATATATATATATATATATATATATATATATATATATTTTATATTTTTTTTTTTGAAAGTAACAAACGTGTATACTTACCTGCTGTATGCAATGGTTTTGCACAGAGCAGCCTGGAACCTCCTCTTCTCGGTTCCCCCACAGGCTCTCCTGGCCCCTCGTTCCTGTTGGGTGCCCCTACAGCACGCAGTTTGCTATGGGAGCACCCGCTGTTCCGTGTGTCCATTCATACATGGAGCAGTGGCTTGGCCCCACCCCCTCTATCTTCTCATTGGCTGACTGGCTGTGATTGACAGCAGCGGGAGGCATTTGCTGCCTCAGCCAATGAGGAGGCAGAGACACGGGACAGCCGAGGCTGTTGTTCACATCGATGGATTGCGATGAGGCTCCGGTAAGTATTGAGGGCACTGGGCGTAGAATGCATGAAGGTAAAAAAATCTTGAGCCTTTTCAACTAAGTTTAAATCACTGTAATAATTAGAGATTTTAAGAGAGTTATATCAGCAACCCTGTTATAAATACATTTGCTTTGGTTATTGTTAGTCTTTGGAGAAACTGTATAGTGTTTCTTCCATCTGGCAGCCCTTGAAAATAAATAAACCACTGAATCCATTCCCATCCTTACTTGTGTTGTGCTTCTTTCAATGCAAACCCTATTTTTAAAAAATCAGCTGAGTGATTGGGAGCACTTTTTTCTAACAGGTGACAGGCCTAACTGAGGGACATTTTTATGAGTTTCGTGCACGAGCAATAAATATGGCAGGTGTTGGAAAGATGTCAGAGCCAAGTGATCTTTTTAAATGTGAGGAATGGACAATGCCTGAGCCAGGTAAGCCATTAAAATGTTAATTGTAAAGAACTGCTATAAAATGTATGCCTAATGTCTTTAATTGTGAGCAAATTGTAGGCTCTGTCAAATTTGACCCTCTGTCAAATTTCTATTGTTAATTGTGTCCCTGCTGGGGATATTAACCCCTCTGTTTTCTGGTGTCAATTGTCATAAAGATAGAAAGTGAGAGGAAATCCCCAAGCTGTCACCAGAGCCATGATTAAGGGAACATTATCGAATGGGGACACCTGTTTCTATGACAACTCTTTAAGATGGGAATTCCATTGACTTTGGATACATTTGCTTCTATTTCCTGTCGCATATGTGGTGTAGTGGCAGATTTACTTATACATTTTTCTATGATAAAATACACTGACCAGCCATAACTTTATGGCCACCCATCTAATTCTGAGTAGGCCCCTCTTTTGCCATCAAAACAACCCTGACCCATTGAGGCATGGACTCCACTAGACCTCTGAAGCAATGCTGTGACATCTGGCATCAAGATGTCAGTAGCGGATCCTATAAGTACTGTAAATTGCAAGGTGGAGTCTCCAAGGATTGGACTGGTTTTTAAGTACCTCGCATGGATGCTCGATTGGATTGAGATCTGGAGAAATTGGAGGTCAAGTCAACATCTTGTTGTGTTCCTCAAACCATTCTTAATCCAATTTTGCAGTGTGGCAGGCAGCATTAACCTGCTAAAAGAGCACACTGCCTTCAGAGAATGCCGTTTCCATGAAGAGGTGTACTTGGTGAACAGCAATGTTTCGGTAGGTGGTATATGTCAAGTAACATCCACATGAACGATAGGACTCAAGGTTTCTCAGCAAAATATCACACTGCCTCTGCCAGCTTGCCTTCTTCCCATACATCCTGTTGCCATCTCTTTCCACGTAGTCAACACACTCCCACCCTTCATTCTATGCATGAAAGTAAAAAAGCTTCAGTGTGCAGCTCGCCCCTCAGCCCCTGCTAATATTTACCTGAGCCTGATCGTGATCCAGCTCTGTGTACGAAAGAAGCCCCTCTCTCTCAGGTCTGTCAATCACGGACAGTTAGGAGGGAGCGGGGGTTGGGCTGAGCCACGCTGTGTATGTCTTATGGACCTTCGGGGTTAGCTAGGGAGTAAGCACGCATGAGTGCCCACAGTGCAAGCATATTGATCTGGGGGAACTCAGCAGGAGGGAGGGGCCGGGAGCACCAGTGGGGGACCCGAGAAGAGGAGGATCAGGGCTGCTCTGTGCAAAACCATTGCACAGAGCAGGTAAGTATGACATTTTTATCTTTTTAAAAAATTTAACCTTTAATATCAATTTATTATGTTAAATAAGTACAGAATTTTCTCAATAAACACCGTTTTCCAAGATATAAATGGAGTAATAGATTTTTGAATTTGAAGAGTTCCAAAATATCACATCCAGGGCATGTGAGCATTGCCTTTAATAACACAGGTTTTATTTACATAGGTCCCCCTTATGATGTCCGATGCAGAGAAGTACGTGATAGCACATTGATGCTCCTTTGGGAGCCCCCTGTCTATACTGGGAACAGCCCAGTCAATGGCTACATAGTAGAAGTATGTGAGGAGGGCACAAAGGCTTGGAGGAAGATTAATGAGGAGCCCACTTTGGAATCACATATGAGGGTATTGTATACTAAAGCTGCTTATATTTTGCCTTCCCACACCAACATGTTCATTACATTTTTAAATAAATGTTTCCATTTTCATTACATACCTTTTTTTAGACCCAGTGATGTCATCACTGTGTTTCTGAGCTTCTCATTGCAATGCAGGCCGATCATAGATGGGAGGGGCTGGTAGGGTACTGTACATATTTTCCCAAGAACATCACAGCATCTTGCCTCAGTACTGCTCTCAAGAACCCTCAGCCTTAAATCAAACATTGCTCTAGCTCTAGGAGGACTTATGCAAGAATGTCTTGATGGGTGGATTTCACAGATGAAAGAACTAAAAATCCAAAGAATGAAAGGATGGGCCAGGGACAGTCAGTGGCGTCACTAGGGTTGGTGTCACCCAGGTACGGTAAAACATGGTATCACCCCCCTCCACCAATCATAGTCTCCCCCCCAGTACAGATGCCCCTCCCTTAGTACTGACCTCCCACTCCACTAAGTATAGACCCCCCTTCCTCAGTACAGACCCCCCTCTCCACTAGGTATAGACCCCGCTCCTTCAGTATAGACCCCCCTCTCCACTAAGTATAGACCCCTTCCCCAGTACAGACCCACCTCTCTGCTAAGTACGGACCCCCCTTCCTCAGTACAGACCCCCCTCTCCACTAAGTACAGACCCCCCCACTCCCTCAGTATAGTTCCCCTTTCCTCAGTACAGACCCCCCTTCACTAAGTACAGACTCTCCTTCCTCATTACTAGTACTGCCCCCCCCCCTCCACTAAGTACAGACCCCCCTCCCTCAGTATAGAACCCCCCCACTAAGTACAGACCCCCCCCCCCCTCAGTACAGACCCCTCCTCCACTAAGTATAGACCCCCCTTCCTCAGTATAGTTACCCCTTCCTAAGTACAGACCCCTCCTTCCTCCACTAAGTACAGACCCCCCCCCCAGTACAGAACCCCCCTTCTACTAAGTATCGACCCCCCTCAGTATATACCGCCATTCCTCGGTACAGTCCCTCCTTCCTCAGTACAGACCCCCCACTGAGTAAAAAGACCGCCACCCCTCTCCACTAAGTACAGAGCACCCTCCCTCAGTACAGAGCCCCTCCTTCCTCAGTACAGACTCCCCACTAAGTAAAGACCGCCCCCCCTCTCCACTAAGTACAGAGCACCCTCCCTCAGTACAGAGCCCCCCCTTCCTCAGTACAGACACCCTTCTCCCCAATTGTGCTAGTAGGGAGGTCAGATATGTGTGGGGGGGTGCTTTGGGAGGGGAGAGGGCTTGTGTGCTTGGGAAAGGGGGGTCAGATTTCAAATCCAACTCCCACTTCTAGCATAGGTGCTCTCCCCTCCCAAAGTGCCCCCCATCACAGATCCACTTAACCTTTCACCCTCACAATCACTCCTCCATCTTTTTTAAATTTCCCCCTTCCTGGTTAGTCTGTCCCCCTCCTCTGTCCACCTACAATGTAATCTTAATACAAACAGACCTCAGATCAGCGAGAGACATGTGCAGCAGTGTTCTTCCTCCTCTCTGCTCCTTCTGTGTACATGTAAACAGCCAAGGAGTGGAGGCGGCTGGAGACTCTACTGGGGTGGTGTTAGTGGTGCCCCGGCCAATGGGTGTCACCTCTCCGCACCTCCATAGCGACACCACTGGGGACAGTCATTCTGGAAGGAAAGGGCTGAGTGATGCTGGCTCCTGCCAGCAAAAGTGGCAAGTCCAATCTGACTTGCTGCAACTTCCAATGCACACAGCATGTTCAGTACAGAAGATAAGCTTGTACACATGATGGTGCAGAGACGTCAGTTTTTCTGCACGAGTTCTGTAAGGGCACCAAAAAATTGTTTTCTATGTGCCCCATTCACACCACAACACTAGTATCATGTATGGATTTTTTCTGCACAGGAATCTGCAACATATATAAACTTACTGAAACGTGCATGAAAACTGACGTAGACTCGTGTCTCTGCCAGTGAAATCTGCACGATTTTTCCATCAGTTTTTCTGCACATATGGTGTGAACAAGGCCTTAAGGTAAGGCTGGAGTTCAGCTTTAAGTAGCTTTAACAGTAAGTATGTCACTGTGAAATAAGTGCTGAGTTACTTTGTGATTTCTTTTTCCTAGTAGAATGTAATAATATTTTTTATAATAGTATCCCAAAATAGAGAGAGTCATATCTGAAATAATATGCATTTCTGATTTAGATCTCTGAGCTGGAAACAGATAAAAAGGTACCAGTTCCGTGTCAAGGCTGTTAACACATCTGGGCCTGGGATGCCATCTCTCCCATCTGATCCTGTGTTGCCTGTCACTAAAGAAGGTTTGAACTTTCAAAAATTAATATATATTAAAATAAAAAGTCGTTTTTTTTGGCACAAGGTCAATACTGTATTGAATGTACATACTTACGTGTCTCATTATTACTAGCAAGTATCATGTTTGTTTTCAGACCATGCTTGATATGGGTTGTATTGGCTCTAGGTCCTAAGACCAACAGAAGCATGTCTGTTAAGAAAACAGTTTTGTGTTCAAATAATAAAGTAATGTTTATCCATAGGTACAAATGAAATTGAAGTTGGGGTAGACGAGGAAGGATTTATTTACCTTTCATTTGAAAACCCGGAGCCAGTTGACAATCCACAGTTCCTCTGGTCCAAGGACTACAAGGGAGCTCCAGACTCAGAAAGAACAGAAATTTCTACAGACGGAAATACGTAATTACTGAAATAGTTATTTTACCTTCTGAGTCCATGGACTTGGCTTGAAAAGTTATATAATGTATACTTCCCATAGAGAGAGATCTTATCATTATACTATCATTAATAATTTAAGAATTATGTTCACAGATATTTTTGCATCTCTATTCATTAATAAATTCTCTACCTCTTTGTCCATGTTATATTATCCACTTCCCATAGTCAACAACCTATGCCTGCTGGATATGCACATCTCATAGTACAGGCATATAGACATTCTGTCTGTATGCACATCTACTGTATATACACTGCAGACAATCCACAACACTTCCATTGTCCAACAAACATATGTTGCTGCACACCACAACATACTTTAAGGCACTACTGTGCATTTTGGTGTGCTGTGTTACAAAAAGAATTGTGCATGCACTTTTTTGGTGTGTTAGTTAGTCCATGAAAATGAATAAAGAGAGGAAATGATAATCAGCACAAATACTGGACCAAGTCTGAAAAGTCTAATAGTTGATAGAAATAGTCCGGGAGACCTGGATAAGGGGGGACCGTATGGCACTAAGGGCAAGCTCCATGCAGTACTGTAGCAGACTCTATGTAGTAAGGAGAGAAGAAGAAGTGCCTCTAAGTGCAGCAGACCACTTTAATATAGCATAAAAGTAGGAACACTCACATGATAGTAGAGTAATACAAGCATGTTGGGTATATGGTGTAGAAACACAGTGTAGAACGGCTGTCACTGGTGCCTAGTACATACGCGTCTCAATGGTAGGGAGCGTAGTAGCAGGAGGGAGACAGATGTGGAGTTGGCCGGCATGCATGTACTCCTCAAGATGGCAGCCCCTCCAACATCGGCGTAGGCGTGATGACGTCAGTGACCAGAATGCAATGTGACACATTTCGGAGCATGCACTGGCATCTAGTGGCAGAAGCTTTATCAAGCATGCTTCTGCCACTAGAGGAGTACGTGCATGCTCTGCCATCTACCATTGAGACGCGGACAAACTAGGCACCAGTGACAGCCGTTCTACACAGTGTTTCTACACCATATACCCAACATGCTTGTATTACTCTACTATCATGTGAGTGTTCCTACTTTTATGGTATATTAAAGTGGTCTGCTGCACTTAGAGGCGCTTCTTCTTCTTCTCTCCTTACATGAAAATGAATGGGCTATCTTAGCACATTGTACGTTAACATGCCACAGATGCATGAACCCAGCCCAAAAAGAAGCTATACATAATATTTACTCTATATAGAAGGACTCATATTTACTTGACATGGACATATTTTTTAAAGTGTTTTGCTTTAGTTTTGACTATAATTTATAAATAGATATGCAGAAATAGGATATACATTCCCTTTAGAGTTCATTCACACGGGTACTTTGGCCTATACAGTGTGAGGAGCCGTTTTTTTACCTTTTGCAGGCAGCATTGTGCTGCTACTAAGCAAAGTTGTGCCACCCCTCCATCCCCCTCTGCCCTATCTGCCATTTAGAAAACTCATATTACTGCAATTCCACAATGTATCACATTCTGTGAATGGAGGATGAGCAGCTGAATAATAGGCTCTCCACTGCTCATCACAGAATGTGATGCAATAACAATAATATGACTTCTGTGAATTGTGGAGAGGGCAGAAGGAGGCAAGTAACCGCTGCAGCTAACCTTGACAATGCCAGACATCAGATGTTCTGGGCAGTATCCGACAGTTGTGAAAGAGACACTGCAGAGATGATTTTTGGCACAAGCAGCCTCCTGCAGGTAAATGGATATACAGCATTACACATTACTTATTTGTTTGGTGCTATATCCCCAAAAAATAAAGAGGGGCCCAAAAAATGTATACACACTTCAGCAGTTATGTATGCCCTTTTGTAAAACCCAAATTGAAATATAGCAGCAATGCGTAGTATTCTGTTTCCCCTAAAGATGTCAGTAGTCACACCATTGTCATCATGTGATCATCAGGAGAGAGAGAAAGAAAATGGCGGAGGTACGCTTGACTTTCAAGCAACGCAAGACCATTTTAAATTGGTATTGTAAATTTGAAAATATGTGTGAAGTTCAACAATAATGGCAACATGAGTTTGGAACAGAATCACCAACACGACTAACAATTGCACAAATTTGTGATAAATTCAAAATCAATGGCACAGTGTGTGATGTGCACAAACAAAGATCTGGGAGGTATGGCACAGCAACAAGTTCTGCTTCCTCGGATATGGTGTTTACATGTTCACAGCAAAAGTCTGTCAAACAATGTGC